ATTTCTCAATAAATACAGCTACAATTAATGCATTTTCATAGAAACAATTTTAAGAGTACTGCCTCATTTGCTCCACAAATAATCGGCATACTTATAGGACAATATCGGGAAGATGTCGAATACTGATCGCTTCGCCCGAGGAGTTCTTGGACTCGTTTGTAAACTATTCTATTTTTTTTTAAAAATGTGTAAAAATTCCATTACAAAGAAAAGCTTCTTTTCGATGTTTTTCTCTTCTTTTTTATTTATTTATTGCAAATCGCCTACAGCCCAATATCATGAATATCTCCCGGGTTTTTCTTTATCGTTAAACGTGCTGATTTTTTAGTAGCCCACATCTGCAATCTTCACTATATCCAAGGGGTACCGATACGCTTCACATCTCCACCATGCACTAGAGTAGATTTTGGATCAGAAACCCTTGGCTAGCAAGGTTTAGATACATATTGCTAATTTAAGACTGATTTTTTAAATGCCGAGTCCCATGGCAGTATTTCATCCGTATATCAGCCAAAACATTAATGATAAGATGTGATCAGTTAATTTTTATTACATGTATTTTAAAAAATTAAAATGTTTTCCATCGACAATGCGCTATTGTGTTGTTCATTAGAAATTAAGCGATATTCTAATATTCCAACAATATTTATTAATTAAAAAAATCCTCTCGAACAAATAAAATAAGTGAAATGTGCTGAAAGCTACATCCTTTTTGTCCTAAAAAAGTATATTAAAAACGTGTTATAAAATTTTTCTTAAGTAATAATCCTTTTCTACCAGACCTCATTTCTATTTTTATTTATAATTGAAAGATTCTGCAAGTTTCGATAAAATAATAATGCATTTGACTGAAGAAACAAAAAAGGGGGGATGTGTCGCTGTCTGTCATTTTAACAGGAACATAAAAATGACACCCTGAATGGAACTCAAACAATTATTTTGAACGAAGTTTTCGATTTAGATTTAAAATTCATAATAAATTACCTGTAAACTATGATAATAATATATCAAGTCTGTAAAAGTCCACATAAAAGAATTATTTAAACAAAATAAACAGGATTAAATCATCATTAAAATACTTGAATTCATTTTACAGATGATTGTATAATTATTAAGGCGATATATACGGCAACAGTTGCTAATTACACCGTGTAAATGCATCCTCAAAACAACGTCTTTTCAGCACGTAATCGCAAGTGCGCTGCCGGGAAAAGGATAACGTCATCAAAAGCTAACAAATTTAATGCTACTATTACGTCACAGACAGCGCAAGGGGCAAAGAGTTAACTCCTGTTTTGAAGTAACCATTCCTTTAAGATGTATTTTTTTGCTATTAATGTAGTTTTTTTTTCCTTTTTGTAATTTCTTCCCTATTTTTAAAACAATATTGATTTTAATTAATTTACGTATTGGTACTTATTTATAATAATTACAAATAAAAGTGCAGACATAACTTAAGAAAAAAAAAATCGGGATGTGAATTCCTTAGCAGGATATAATGCAAAAAAATATCTTAGGAAAAAACACCTTGTTCTCTCCTTTTTTTGTTTTTGTTGTAATTTTTCTGTCTCACAATAAAACGTCACTAATACGTTCATTATTTTGAACCAGGAAATCATGCCACTATAATCTTAGAAATCCATCTTTAGTACAACATCATTTTTATGATATATTTCTAAATCGTTTGTCTTTTTACACTTATAACATGATTTATTTATATGCTATATATCTTATGATTTTATTTTTGTAAACGCCTTTTTTTTAAATAGCATATCAGTATATTAGATATTTAAGTTCATTTGAATATTTATTGTATATTTTTATAAAAACATCAATAAAGTGCTTTTGGACAATGCTCTATGGCACAAGGTATAAATCGGCTTTTATGGCGGTTACGCTTCGAATTCATTAGGCTAAGGAATCTATTTCGAAGGGAGTATTTTGTGAAAGGCTACTTGTGATCAGTAATAGTGAACAGATTGTTGTCTTGGAATATTTTATTCGTGATAATGATAATCGATGCGGAAAAGACACAAGAAACACGTCCGAAGTTCAAGGAATTTCGGTCGCTGGGAAGGGATGGATGGATCCGATCACCTGAGACACTTGTCCGAGCCATCTAATTTTCAATTTGATCAAAAACATTCCACGGTTTCAGTAACTAAAGGCATACGTATCGTAAAACACTGATAAACACGAAGACACTGGCGACAACTTTACACTGAACTACGAAAACGCCGAGGTTTTTGGCAGCTGTTCATTGCATGATTGCAAAGATATTTTCCAACAGATTTACACATTTGTACTGAGTAAAATTTAAAAATAAAATAAAAGTTTATCATGAAAATTTAACCAAAGGTCTATCCAAAAAATAAGGATGAACGTTAGAGACTGTGCAGCTGACAAAAAATGAAGAAAAATGTAAACAAACGCTAGGTTCCTAGTTTTCTCTATGTACACAGGTTGAATCTATAGTCCAAACCATATATTCAAAATAAAATAATTATCATTTTCCTTGCTTATTTTATTCATTTTTATACATGAAAAGCAAGTAAAATAGGTCATTTTATCAATTATGTACCGGTAGATATTATTGCGCCGCGTCATTAGGTCACGTATTGACCTCTGACCTCTGACAAACTTCATACAGAATTGAAGACATTTTCTCTCCGTATATTTATATAATGGAGAGATACCACAAATGTATATATTCAGAATTACGTATCTGTATTGATCCTCCTTAATAAAAAAAAGAATATTATTAATCATTTTATGTAAAATATCAAAACTATGGGTAAATTTAAGTTGTCACTAAATTGCAAGCCAGGTAAATTTAAATAGAATCATTCAAATTTAAAAGAAAAGATATACATACTATACCTATAAATTTAATAAAAATTACGTTAAATAGTAATTATAAACAGTAAAAGTTTAGAAAAAGTCAATCTCGATGACATTGGATTTCTTTTTCTCCGTTTTTTTCCTCGCTATTTCCTGATCATGACAAGGAGCACACGACAGGTGTGACTGGTCGGCAGGGGATGCTCACTCCTCCATGGCACCTGATCCCACCTCTGATGTCTCGGGGGTCCGTGTCTGCTCCGCTCTAATTTTGTATTGTTTTATGGACTTTGAGATTAAATACTGTTCGTTTTCTCCATACCCTACTCTCGGTTCACAAACAACTGTTTACGTTTTCTTTATCCGGGTTCTCTATAGAATGTGACCTTATTTTTCTCCTATCTCAGCTTACAATCGATTGTTTTCTACCCACTGTTTTTATATTTATCTATCTCAGTGCTTTTCTACGATTGGACTGACTAACGAAAATGAAGATATTGCGGATTTTTTTCTATTTTCACAATTTTCCCTTCCGTTTTATATATCTTAAACTGAATTTATCTCACGTCTTTTCCTGTGGATCTTTAACCCTTGTTTCCAAGATATCATTCTTTTGAAGATGTATTTTTTTTCTATTTATGAAGTTGTTTTTTCCGTTTTGGAATTCTTCCTTATTCCTTACAATATTAATTTAATGTGAATAAAATTACTGCTACTTATTTATAATAATAATAAATTAAAGTACAGTCATAGCTTAGCAAACAGTAATAAATTCAAGAAATGAGTTTTTTACCCAGGACTAAATGCATGAACTTTAATATTTAATACAAAAAACACTTTTTTTGTAATGTTTCTTTTCTCCACTTTCTATTTTTTTTTAAATAAGAAATACAGTTACCTTTGCAATCTTGTGCATTCATTTAAATCAAAACTTCGCTACTGTTATCAAACACAGTACAAAAATATAAAGTATTCTGCCAAAAGTATAGAATATGCCTTTTCATAAAAAAAATGAGAATAAAAATACGTACCTTTGAAAAAATTTATATAAGCATGCAACCAATCCTTTCAAAATTAAATATGACAATTCAAATACCATGGAAGTACATGTATTTATTAAACCAAATCAAAATCAAATTTCAATTGCATAAAGTAAAAAAAAATGCATAATAAACACACTTGTATCTCTTTTGATATCATTAAGCAATTCAAATTAATTTGGACAATATACAACTCCAAAAACGATCAAAATTAATGAGAGTAAATATTCGGATACAATACAATACCTAATGAAAATTAATTCAAGCTCATAAAAGATAAAATTGATCCTAAAAATGATGGGGGTATATTAAATAATATGTACATTTTAATTTTTTTTTAAACATTGGTTTTGTCTTGGTCAATTCTAGTAAGATCTTATCAATTAAATTGCAGTTTGAAAAAAAAATATTAAGGAAAAAGAGACTGGTTTTGTTGCTGAACAGATAAGATACTTATGAAAAGATTGTCGATTGTCAAGGAATACGCGGCGGGTGTGATCGGTCATCAGGGGATGTTCACACCTCCATGGCACTTGATTCCACTCTGATGTTTTGGAGGCCCTTGCTTGCTTTGCTCCTTTTTTACAATGTTAAATGGACTTTATAGAGGCACTTTATGTTTTATGGTGATTCTATACAAAAAGTGGCTTTGGTACCTTTTGAATAAAAAATTACCTCATATTCGAATTGCTTCTGAGAATTGAAAAAAATATATTCTTTAGAATTACAACTTATCTTAAATAAAATAAAATTTTTTTCATGTCTGGTAATTGTACCTTCTACAGATGAAAGGAGTGAATATATAGGAACACAAAAGTCTCAATAAGTATTGACTTATTTATTTATATTCATCAATTAAAAATATTGTATATAAAGACAATATGTCCATTTTTAGTTCTAAAAATTGGTATCTACAAAATAACGTTTTTAGTGTCATCCACTACCAGCATTACTCTGAATTTGACCTCTGACCCATGCATCGAATATTTTATTTTTCTTGACTGTCGAATGAAATTCGCTGCTGAACATCTAAGTCTTGCGGCAGAGTAATATTTTAGGGAAATTTTTAACTTCCTGTTTTAAGGGTATATAAACTACATATTTTTTAGGGAAACTTATTTTTAGACAGCGTGCAAGTAAAACCATGGCAGGAGTTTGGGCGGCTATCTTCGTGTTCGTTTTGTTCGTTTGTGCGGCCAGTTTACAGCAAATTTATTCCGACGAAAAAAATGAATGCGTCCGTAATGATCAGACGATGCAAATATTGAAGGAAAAGCTTGAGTACTTACGACAGGAGAACGCGAGACAAATTGGTTCCTTAAAACGAGAAATCGCGCTCATTAAGAAAAATGAAACCAGTATCCATGAAAATTTGAAGAGCAGTATGCTGCAAACCATCAAGTCAGGTAACTCTCTCGTCCTTCTCTCTCTCTCTCTCTCTCTCTCTCTCTCTCTCTCTCTGAGTATGTTACGATTTTTATCATATCATGTATTTATTTTGTTTTTTTCTTTCAGAGTTAAACATAAATAAAGATTGTAAGGACCTCTGTATTAATGGTAATACAGTATCTGGTGTTTATGAGATATATCCATTTGGTATTGAAAGCAAGGTCAGCGTCTTCTGTGACATGATGACAGAAGGTGGAGGGTGGACAGTAAGATCTCTCTCTCTCTCTCGCTCTCTCGCGCTCTCTCGCTCTCTCTCTCTCTCTCTCTCTCTCTTACAACCATAAATTGCACCTAATATTTCCTTAGTAATTTATTGATCTTTGATTTTAAAACTACTATCAAATTTTTTAGCTGAATTAACATTGAATTTTTTTTAGCCTTGTTTACAAGAGGATAATAAAATTCCTACATAAATATTTTAATTACAAAGTAAAAAAAAAATTATATATCATAATTTTGATAACATTTTTTTTTTCAACTTTAAATAGTTGTTGATATTAATATAATTAAAGAAGACTTATATATGAATCTTTTGTGTTTAAATCATAACTTAAAAAATTTAACTTCACTACTTTCTTTACTAAACCCGACATAAATCATAAATCCTTAGGCTATCCAGAAACGTGTGAGTGGTTCGGTGTCATTCGACAGAAACTGGACGGACTACAAGACGGGATTCGGGAATCCTAACGGATCCTACTGGATAGGTAAACTATAAACAGTTATGGAATGACTACAGAGGACATAGCAAATTTATGGCTCCCCAAGGGTTAGGGTTCCAGATACAGAAATATTCCCCTCCCTCGGGGAACCATTAATTTGCTATTTACATTGTACCCATTCTATAACTGTGTAATATTTTATATTGTTTTAGGGGATGATAATTCTTCTGATTATTAACAGTTTAAATTAGCATTTAATCTAGCAGTTAAAATGAAGTTTATAACAATTTATGTAAAATGCAATATATAACGATTTCCCTACTTTGATTTCAAAACATGTATGTTCATTGCTGCATGCACTACACAATTAGAAATTTCTGCATACCTTCATAATCATATGTTGAATTATATGACAACTTGAAATAAATATGTTTTGCTTTATAAATTCTTTATATATTACATGACGATAAAATATTTAAGGAAATGACGTAATACATCAACTTACCAAGAGAAGGAACTTCTCCCTTTACGTATCTATCACACTGACTAATGGGACAAAGCTCTATGAATTATACAACCAGTTCTCTGTTGCTGACGAAACCAACAACTACCGACTTTTTCTTGGCGGACCAGCTACCGGGACCCTGGGTAGGTAAACGGAAAAAAGAATGTACGAATGGCGACCTGAGAGAGAGAGAGAGAGAGAGGGAGAAAGAGTTTAATTACTTATGACAGATAGACAAATACCAATTCTTTCTATGAGAATCTACCCTAAAGTTATGTAATTAATGTAGGGGGGATGTGTGGATATCAATATTTTGAAAGTAAAATTTTCCTTGTATATTGAAAATCAAGAGTCCATACTATATGAGCCAATCAGTAATAAATTGCTAAAAGATTGAACATTTTCACGTCATAAACACTACATGCGTACTTGTATGTAATGTTGTCAGATACATAACTAATACAGAGAAATCAATTAAGGTGTTAAACGATTATTGAATTAAAAAAAAAAACAACTTGCATTGGAAATGTAATTAATTACAGTAGATAACGAGGACTTGTTGTAATTATCCCGCTTTTGTGTTGAAGATAAATATAGTAGACATAACAAAAGATATACAAAACTAAAGAAAGAAGTTAACTACAAAAATTGTATCTACGTGTAGTCGCACAAATTTGAAGAATTCTAATGATTAATGTGTTGATAAAATGGAAGAAAAACTATTGTTTCCTGTACTGTTAACCTAAAAAAGTGCACCCCCCCCCCCTGCCACGTAAAAAAAAAGAAAAAATCAAACAGTTATTTTCTAATATTATATCAATTTACTGGTTCATGAAATTATTGTTTTGAATATCCCTTCTTAATATGTACGTATATAGGCTTACCAATTTCAATGTTTAAAAAAGGCTTCACGTGAATGAAATAATAATTAAATTTATTGATGTCACCCGCGTGGCGCGGTGGTTAGAGCCGTGAAGTAAGGAATCTTTACGTCGCGAGTTCCAATTCCACTGTAGGGCGTGCAGACTGGTCCTTCGGCTGAGATTGTATAAATCAAGGTCCAGAGTCGCAGTCTATGCTGGCACTAAAAACATAGCTCACTGCTCAATTGCCGTGTATAACATGTATTATAAAACAAATTTTCTAGTTCTCAACCGGCAAGTGATGGCGTCACCATATGAGTGAAAAATGCTCGAGAGAGACGCTAAACTACATACATTCATTCAATCAATCAATCAATCAATCTTTTATTTCTGTTGAGACTCATCAACATGTTCGTATACAGTCAAAAAAGAAATCAAATGACAACAGAAAAACAACGTTAAATATTAAATGAAAACAGTGTTCATCTATTGTAATTGAAAGCAATGCAATTTAAAGTAATTTAAAAAAAAAGTTTTTATTGTTGAATACTATAGATGCTTTAAGCTTTAAATGTTTAGTAAATAATAATGATCTAATCTGAAATAGGTGTTCATGTTATATTTTTCTTTGATAATTTTACAGGGGACTCTATGTTACACACTGGTTATTCTTCCTACGATCTGTCTGGGATGTCCTTCACCACCCCGGACAGAGATAATGACAGGTATAGAGGTAACTGTGCTGCTGACTGGGGAGGAGGCTGGTGGTTCAACTTCTGTCACTTCGCCTTCCTTAACGGTCAATGGTCCCCGGGGTACTGGTTCTGGCCATGGTATCCCACAGTGACTGATAGTAAACAGATAAAAGAGACCCTCATGATGATCAAACCTAACTGACTTTTTATATCTTTTATCCATAGTTGTTTTTTTATAGTTGTTCACATATCTTAGTTAAAGTTAAAAACTTTTATTATAAATGATTATGACTTTATTCTTGAGATAATGATGGCATGGATGATATATTACAAAGTAAAACTTTTATAGATATAATATGATGTGTAATGAATTTAATAAAAAGTCCTAATATTTATAATGTTCTAAAAATAGTGTTATACATGTAACCTTACTTCCTAGAAATACGAAAATCGCATTCAATCATTATTAAATAATAAAATTTTTGTTTTCATATTATTCATTGTCTTTTTGTTCTTAATCATATTGTATTATAAAGTATATAGATAACAAAGAAAATGTGTTTTTATACACGCTAGTATTTTAATCGATCCCCGTGAAAGTTCAGAGAACTGGGAGAAGTAGTATAGAATTTTATCAGCCTATCATAATGTATAACTCCATTAACCAATCATATATCAGCCTATCATAATGTATAACTCCATTAACCAATCATATATCAGCCTATCATAATGTATAACTCCATTAACCAATCATATATCAGCCTATCATAATGTATAACTCCATTAACCAATCATATCCATACATCTGCGAGGCTTGATTACGTAGATTTTTTTCATATACAAATATTTCTTCTCTCTTGACCATGTATCTTATTTGTGTGTGGAAAATGCTGCATTTACAAGCCAAATCAATAAAAGGAAGAACAGAGGATTAAATGTCGCTAACATTGAATGTAGTGAAAGATCAACTTCATAAGACAAAATCAAAGTTTGCGTTCTTTTAGTTTCATAAACTAGCTTCAAATAAAAAATAGGGTTTATATTGATATATATTTAGTCTTTTAGACAAAAATACTACAGATCCCGTAATGCAAATGTTGTGCAGTTTTCTGCACACGTTTAAGGATATATTTCTCTAAGAAGATGGGTGAACAAGACAGGCAGGATGCCTATAGCGTCAGATATTAAGAAATCATATTAAACATGTGAAATGATTATTTAAATTAACTTTTAATAAATGAAAGTTTTGAAATTATAAAAAAAAACTTTTCTGAGAGAGAAAAAAATATCGTAGAAAAATTCTTTCATAAAATTATTAGATGGTATTCGTGGGATTCGAAACCTAAGGCCAAAATAAAATAATAGTTTGTGTGGAATTGCCTCCCGCCTCATTGAAATGCCCCCTCCTGAAAAAATTTCATTGACCAAAAGTAGGAACATTTTTTTTATTTTAATCAATTTTTTTGCCCATTACATTTATCACATGTCAGACCTATGTAAAATTAGGTTTTATTGTTGATGGTATGTGGCAACGCACTTTGAAAAAATTACGCACTTTGAAAAATTTTTTCAAAGTGCGTTAATTTTTGGGACCAGGTTAACGCACTTTGAAAAAAAAAACTTTTTTTTTTCAAAAAATGAACCATATTAACGCACTTTGAAAAAAAATTCTAGGATAGTCAATATTTTACAAATCTTGATGATAATATCATTTGAACCTGATTTGATACTCATATGTCCCCCGCTTAAAAAGTGGGGGATATTAATTTAGGTCCGTCCGTCCGTCTAGCTGTCCGTCCATCCGTCTTTCTGTAACGCTTTCGTTTCCACACGATATCTCGACAATCCTTTGGGCTTTTGCAATGAAATTTAACATAACAGAATCCTGTGGCCTTAGGAAGACCCCTTTTGAATTTGGGGTCAATCAACATTCAAGGTGTAAAGACTACGAACGATATATTATTTTTGTGCCTATCTCTAAGTCAATTCTCAAAAGTTAACATCTTGGAATGATTCTCAAAATTTCTATACATATTTATATGAATTTTCATAAAACCTTACTTATTTGGGATACCAAAGAGAGATAACTCTATAATTTTGGCAAAACTTGTGTTTTCCACTATAGAAATCAACGGAAAACTGAAAATGATTATTAAAACAAAAATTTTAATAATTGAAAGTCATTTTGAAATTTATAGCTTTTTGTGTTTCACGGGGGGGGGGGGGGGGGATGTTTATAGACAAAAAACGAAAAAAAACCAATTTTAAAGCTATTTAAAACTAAATAATTGTATTTTATTAATTTATATATGCTTTATTTATTTGCGTAAAAGAGAAAAGATATTAGATACATGTTTAATGAACAATTCCTATGAAAATATCATGTAAGTTAAATACCTGGAGGTTAACAAGAATATCAGATATGGTATCAAATTAACATCGAAAAGCAGACAGGTACTTAATATAATTAAATGTAATTAATGTTATTAATATTCTGATTTTCCTGAAAATGAACATAAATAGTCTTTGAGATTTAACAGAACAAAATTTCGATTTACTACAAACTTCCTTGTACAGTGCTTATACTGTATTTAGAATGCTCTTTTTTTCCAAATATCATTGACACTTAAGTTTACGAGTCATAGAAATAGATACATCTGGGTGGGAATGATAAAGAGTTAAGCTGATAGACCTTAATTCAGCCAGTCTTTTCTTCGTTGTCCGTTTCTAGGTTTTCTTCAATCCATCAGTTTTTAGAAAGAAACACAAAATAAAATTATAGTTTGTGTGGCATTTGCATCCCGCAATACAAATTGAAATTCCACACAGATAAAAAAAACATACACATAAAGTAATAACACAAAACTATTTATTGACCTAAAATATAAAAGTCTAATTCCTTTTGTTTCATGAAAATTTTTTAAAGATGTTTACATGGTTAAAATTATATGTACAGTCTTAACGCACTTTGAAAAATCAAGTTTTTTTGCCCAAATTACATTTAAAACATGTCAGACCTATGTCCCAAAAATTAGGTTTTGAAAAAAATCAAAGTGTTGATGGTAGATACTTTTTTTAAAAGTAAAAAAATGTATATGTATTTACTGTTTACTGAGATTTTTATAAAAATAATTAAAATTTATCTTCAATTAAAAAAAAATAATAATTTCTCTCCCTCCCTCCTGTGGCTGAAACTCTTCAGGCGGCAATTCCAAACAAACATTTTTTTAAGGATGGCCTAAGCAATAAAAATCCGACGTATCAATAGCATACTGCTTTGAGACTAAAGCATTAACCATTATGCTACACCGCTCATGGTGATTTTAGGCATTTAAATCATGTTCGTGATATGACCCGCGACTTAATGGACTTGAAGTATTTCTCGGAAAGATGCTAATGTTGTGTAATAAAATTGTACTTTTAACGTATAGTGGGTCTTCGCTCCATGTTTTTGAATACCACAAAATGTGTATTTTATAGCACACTTTTAGGATCATCTTTCAAAAAATGGAGGGAAGACCCACTCATATTGAAAAATTTTGTTCAAGTACAAGAAAATGATCGTTTTTGTTCTTTTTAGTGTGTGTAAGCATTTTCATAGGCAAATATTTTGTCTTTGTGGGTATTTGTAAATTGTAGAGATTTTACATAAAGTATACATTAATATTAGATGAAATATCAAGTAAAATTTGGATTCAATTGAGATTAAAATTTTCACATCTTATCTGTCGCACTATAGGCATTCTGCCTGCCCTATTCACCCATCTTCTTTCCTGCATCGATTAATCGACAAACTTTCCTTTTCTTATTTGAGAAATACTCTTATACTAAATTGCATATTATTTCCCCCATATTACCCTCTATAATTTTATTTATTTTTTTTTTTTTGGGGGGGGGGTCTCAAAAGAAGCCTTTAAAGGGTTTGGGTGGCGGATAAAATATACAAGATGAAGAAATAAAATATCTAACATTAAGAAATAAAAGGGATAGTGCAATGCTGAAATGAAGAGAAATATACCCCAACGTTGCCAAAGAAAGATGTAAAGGGCTCAACATTTACTTGACGGAATCAATTAAGTTTTCATAGTTAACTAAAATATAAATTCATAACTCTAAATTTTCTGCAGCTAGACGTAATGCATGTTGCAAAGGCTTTTCAATTATAAATATTTTGTAGATAAAAAATAAAAAGAAGGTGTTTTAAAGAAAAAAATTACATTATAAAATAGTGGGTATAAAAATGATAATGTTCGCATTAAGTTTATTTTTTTTATGAAAACTATCAACTCAAAACTGTTCCTTACCCTCGGCAAGGAAACTAAGCAATACAATTTTGCAGTTAGGAAACGAGGTCTTTAAAAATTTGCATAAGGAATAATCATCTTAAAAATATGTAATGCCCTTCCTCCCAAGAAAAAACAAATAAAGAGCCTGAATATTTACAAACTTTACATTAAAATTTATCAAAATTCTATTTCTATCTGACAGGGGTGAAAACAGGTTTTCATGAGAAAAGACACATAACTCCTTTATTTTATTTCTAATAAAGTTGGGCCTTCTGTAAATCAGCGTGAAAAAAGGTTGCAGAGAGAAATGAAAAAAAAATACTGCTGAAACAATTGTGGAAAGACATATTTTAATTACATTTCTCTGGTCTGATTAAGGAATTGGAACATGTTATTTTTAAGTTGTTGTAAGCTAAACACAATTGACGAAATCCATTGACAGCATGGAGTCACTGGTATCTTGTTACAAAATATTATTTGTTTTTATTACTTTAAGCAATAAAATTATAAATTTATCTGTTCTGAGACAGGGTTTTCGTTTTCTACAACCCTATGATACTGCTTGATTTTCCCCAAACATGTTTCCCTTCAAATTGACACAGACGCAAAAGGGTGCATATATTTTTTATATTGACTCAAAGACACCAAGGAAAATACATATATAACCGGGAAGAAGACATAGAAGGTTTCCTCTTTAAAAGAATCATAATAATTTAAAAAACAGAAGAAGGGAATTTATTCTTTTATATATTCATGCGCAGATCGGGGAGAGGGGGTAGTGGGTCTTGAACTTGGTTCCCTTTAAAAAGCACGGACCATCCTTGGATAACCTGTTACGTTAGTGGTATAAAAAAAATCATAGATATAAAGATTTGGAAGTCAATGGGGCTAACCCCCTCCCCCACTACACACACAACCTTACACACAAAATTGAATTTTCACGTTTAAACGAGTTGATTTTTTATAGCTTGTCAACAAATTTCTGGGGTGGATTTTTTTTCACTGGGTTGGACCCCCTCCTACCTGTAAAAAAATTACCTGGTTCCGCGCCTGACATCTAATATCTTTTCCGCGTACAATAGAATATAATCTGTCTGTGATAAAAAAAAATGTAGGAAAATGATATTGCGTCTTTGTGTATTATTTCCTATAATATCAAGGAAAATATGCATGTATGTAGTACAGATTATTTAAATGAATCAGATGCCGTGAAGTGAAAGTGAAAATTTTTAATAAAAATGGAAAATTACTTA